GATAGATCGAGAGTTAGTCAAGACAACATAAGGCGAAGTAATATAAAAGCAAAGCATCCGCACCTGTAGTAACGACCTACCTAGAGGACTTAGCCAGGCCGGAATGTGTTTCTCCTTGGCCAAGTAATCCTACAAGGTCACGCATCCTGGTCTGCATTCTCTCATCGAAATGGTCCCCGGTGTCCTTGATGCCTTTCCTCTAGTGTGTTGGGAAAGGCCACCCCCATTTTGGGCGAGAAAAAATATATATTTTTCCAGATCGGGACCTTCAAAGGGAACTCGTGGAGTAGTTTATATCCAGTCCAGTAGGACAGATAATAGCTAAATTTGTCCTTGGCACTAGCAAGGTTTTGCTTGATTTGGCAGACCTAGATAAAGGTTTTCATGTCAGGAGGAAAGCCAAGGTGAAAGAAAAGGGAAATTGTATCGACTAAGGTATAAACCGAGTTCGGGTGCAATTGGTCTATGGTGACGTCATAAAACTCTAAGGCCTTGAGGATGAATGGGTGAAGTGGAAAGCGAAGCCCAACTTTCAAATGCTCCGCGGAGATAGTTATCTCCTCCTCTTCGTGGTCCCAAGTAAAACCCTCTAAAGGAAGATAATAACCATAATGCTAGGGGAACCTATACCGAGCAACCAAGGCTCTAATCTCCTCGACAGACATTCAGGAAGGACCAAAACAGTCCGACTCTCTAGGACGAGCTGCTCGACGGGAAGACAAAGCCCTTTTATGGGAACCTCGCCGGTCTTGAACTGATGTGCCCTCCTCGGCTTGACCGGACTCCACCCTCTCCTCATTAGACTCACCACTACTCGACATAATGGAAAGGAAAATAACGAATTAAACAAAGAAAGGTGGTTTACCTAAAGGAAGAAAACTGAGCTTGAAGATCGAAGAACTGAAGATTGACCTGGCGACACCGAAGACAACGCACAACCTTTAAGTGCAAGAGCTCAAACAAGACGAAGGGAAATGAGCCCCTAAGGTCCCTATTTATAACCAGTATAGCCGATCACGGCGGTTCAGATCGATCAGATCCAATGGTTACCAGGAGGGCAATCGCTCGATTTTCGAGGTCGAATTCAATTGAGTGCGTGTTTGAAGTCTGCGGAGTTTATAGTCCACGTGACACCTGTGAAGGAAGGTTTACAATCCATTATATGGATGGCCGAACCATGTTAGATTGTTGGGCGAAATTTGAAAAATTTCTAATCCTTCTGGGAATCGTATTCTCTAATGTTTAGAAAAACTGCATTTTTCTAGGATCAGTCTTGCACTGAACTGGACTAGATTTGAAACCAAACAAAGAGGGAGATGTATACCTGATACGGATACCACAAGTGTAAATCCCAATGTGGAAGTTAACGCCCAAATCAGTTCCTAAAACTAGCTTCCATTGAAGATGGCACAACTTGATCTTGAAGCCGGTTCAACAACGCAGTTTTCAACAAAACTGCAATCCAACTGCTTGGATCGAACTAGGGAGGTGAGCATGAAATTTTTTTGAATTTTTCTTGTAAAATTTAGAGAAATAACTGATATTTATCAGTCCCAAAAGATGTAGTCGAACTAGGGTTTCTTGGGAGACAAAAGAAGTAGAGAGAGCATAATTGACAAGTGTTCTAGTGCAATTCACCCTCTTCTTCTTTTATCTCTTTATGGATTACTTCTCTTAATCAAATTAGGAGATTATCCAATTCTTTATTTGGATTTGGACTTTATTAAAAGATAAGACTCATCCTCTTAAGAGGATGGGTGCTTTATATCCATTTCCAAACCCAGATTCACCCAATGTCACATGATAGGTTAAGTAGTCATGTGACATCTTAACTAATCATATTAATTATGGGCTTTAGGCCCATCAACTATAAGGCTCACGACCCAAGAGTGTTTCTTGGCCTAGCCGAATTCACTATTAAACACAGTGAACCCTTGAGCACATCACTATGGGCTCAAAATGAGTCCCATAATTATTGTTAAATGATCTTTGAATCTAGCCATCCTATGAAGACCCACGGATAATGGACTTAAGTAAGATAAAGCCCATCTGGTAATCAACCCTTAATGGTCTCTTACACTTAACCTCTCAGCCCATAATGATTAAACACTGCCCGATTGGGAAAGACCTCTCCCCTGGCTGCAAGGTGCAGTGTCACACTCTTTGCTCGGATGGATCTCGAAAATTAAAACCTTTTGCAGACATTTTTCATAAAACATAATATATATGTATTTTGCAAAACCAAATATCAAACACAGTTGATCATTCATTTTGTCCGACAAAGGGGCCGATCCTATCACTATGATCACCCACATAACTGAATTCTCAAACTATCCCAACATACCCAGGCTTAGACCCTAAATGGATCTCATTGATTGGTATATGAAAGACAGCCCAATCCGACTCCCAGTGCAGTACCATAATCAAGTCTACGGGTTATGTGTAACTTTTCAGTTTTGCCCATCAATCTCCAAGGTCCAGGGCATAACTGGAAAATGGTCCAGGTTCAGTGTTTCAACCAAACACACAATACATGTGCTTCGTGTCTAACCCTAGTAGCTGAGACAAGTTGCCTCAACTTCCTTGGTAGCACATTAGTGTCAGCCTTGGCAAGATAAACTCCCCAAGTCTATCCAATGGCTGAGAACATTCTAAACTAACATGAGTCTCATAAGTGTCCAGTTTAAGGGGTAAAATTCACAGAAATATACCAATATTAACATGAAACAATATTGTACTTTTATTCATTTACAATAAATGTATCTACATATCAATCTGATTGGAGCTAAGGGCATACACTATCTAATAGTTTGCGCGTTCCTAAGATGCAATCTAGCTCTAAGGTCGAGCCTGTTGGGTTGGTCCGGTTTGACCCGTAGACCGGACCTCAGCCAATCCGAAGGTCGGGCCAAATTCTTCCAGACTCGTCGAAAACTCCCACCCCGAGTTGAGCACCTCTAGCACAAGAGTTTAGGGCAATTAGAAGGGGTAATTTGGCCGGACCTATTACTCTGTTAACATGCGGTCACGTGGATCGACCTAATGACATCACGACAAGTCAGCATTTCCAACCACCTCAGTAAGCCAGGTCAACTCGGGTATTTCGGGCACCTTGGAAAGGACCGATGTTTGAGTAGCTCGTGGTGTCCCGACCTGCCGAGGTGCAACATAACCCGCTTATAAAAGCTAGCCAATTGTCTTTCACCTTTCTGGGATCACATCTAAGTTTGCAAGCCTTATCCTTGTCCCGCCCAGATCAGACGGTCTCAGTAAGCCTTATTAGCTCACACGAAGTCCATCTCCGGGTGTGAAACGGACACTAAGTAACGCGGGTCAAGGATCTCGGATGTGTTCCGTGAGGCCTATGACAGCTCACCTATATAAAGGGCTCACTTCCAACCTTACAAGGTATGTGCGATTTAGCTCTCTAGCTCTCTCACTTACAAAGCTTTCAAGCTCACAGTCACTCTTCGCTAACTTAAGCATCGGAGTGCCCGCACCGAGTAAAGTACCCCGGGTCCTCTGATTGAGTTCTCTTACAGTTCGACTGGCCACATAAGTAGACTGACGTCCAAGCTTCCATCTAGCTAGGAACAACCAAATCGTGCACCATCAATTTTAACACCTATTAATTTGTTTAACGTCAAATTAGTGACATCGTGAATTTTAGACTTCTTTAAAAATTATGATGAATTTAGGAAAAATGTTGAAGACTCCCTATTTGTATTACGTGCTGGCCATTGATAATATATGGACTGTCAGGAAAGTATCTGGTCAGGTCAGGAAACTGATATAATTAAATCTCATTGTAATAATACCAATTATAATATGCATAGATCATGATTGTAATTAATTGTTTAATATCTGTGTTACGTGCTGGCCACTCTGAAAATCTGATGCCCTACGTACACCATTACATGACCCGCTTAAAGGTTTCCCAAAGTAACATTATATTTTCTTTTTCTCTTTCTTTTTTCCTTGCTTTCTTTTGTTTTTATAACATAAGGCTGCACAACATGTGGAAGATCCTAAACATGATGAAGATGGGATTTCCAAACCCAAGTCTCCACTACAATCACTAAGAAACCTTACCAATTAAGCCAATTAACACCTTTAAAACATAAATATCTCTTTCTCTCTCTTGAAAATACTACATTGCCAAAAAGACATGGTGCTACAAGAGCCTTGGCCATTCAAAACACACGTGAATTTAACCAATTGATGGTGGCTCAGTTTCTGATATCTTCATCTCATTGTAGTGGAGACTGATGAAATCCTGCTGCCACCAGGGTTGGGGTTAAGGGTTTGGGGGATGGATGGATTACCCCTTTGTGTTATGTAGGCAGTATTTGGCATCAATACCGTTGTTCTAGAAAATGGTGACATATCAGCGCCATGTTGGAAAAATCGGTATCCAAAAAATGGTAAATGCATGTTTGGAACTTTTTTTCTATAAAAAACAGTGCTCTAAACCACACCTTAGAAATTGAGAAGGCGTGGTCTTGAAAAACACTGAATTTAACGTTTTTTCAATTTGGAGCACGTTACTACCAACGAGGATATGATGTGGCAGTGATTTAGAATTCCTATGATGGGTACCAGTGCTGAAAACAGATATAAAACACTGATACCAAACAGAAGATGTTTATGTTGCCCCAAGAAGAATATTACATGGCAGTAACGTTTCCAAACAAAGAAAAATTATTTTCTCAGAAAACGGTACTTTCAACCCACAGATATGCAGCATCGATACCAAACATAAACGTAATTTTTCAAAAAAAAAAATCACCCATAAATTTTGAATTTTGATAAATATATATACTACCTGAATGATTATTACTTTAATGATACCCCATTAATTAGTTGCAAGCTTTTCCGATATTATTTCTTTCTTTTGTCATAGCTTTTATAAGAAAGCATAAATATCTCCTACAATGTAACGACAATCAAGTCCACTCATTATTTTTGGATAAGGTTCCATTATCGGATAAATACAAATACATACGGTGGCACTTGAAAAGAAATAAGGCAAGAAGCTATGAGAACTCTGCCTTTCCAAGGTTTCCCATCTCTGTACATCACAGGGGCATCCCCATGGACGCAGAGAGGCCCATCCCTTCCTCCCACAACCCTCAACAACAACCATTCTTTCCTCGGAAGAACATGGAAACTGAATGCAGGGGCCAAGGGTTTCGGTAGTCAAGCGGCCGTTACGGTGTCGGAGAGGAGAAGAAGCCAGAATGGAAACGGCAGTGACAAAACCAGTGGCGGAGACAACGACGACGACGACGACGACGATAAGATCCCATCGGTAGTATTCGAGAGGATGATCGTTCGGATATTGTTCTACGTGGGCACTCCAATGGCTATAGGCGTGGCGTTGCTACCTGTATTCGAAACACTGAAGGATCGACATATATGGGATGTGCCACTTTGGCTGCCTTTCTTGACAACCTTGGTTGCGTTTGGAACATCGGCACTTGGGATTGCTTATGGGACTCTTTCTACGAGTTGGGATCCGGACAAGAAGGGCTCGCTTCTTGGGTGGGAGGAAGCTCAGAAGAATTGGCCTGAGCTGTGGAGAGAGGAAGAGTAGAACTATAAAGAGAAGAGATTAATTACTCACAAATAAAGATGTATTATCATGTGTTTTGTTAATTTTGCTTTTTTGCTTTGTTCTTAGAACTCAATGAAACGCTGTTTATGATACAACTTTCGGATACAGCTGCAATAATACCCCCTGTTAGAATTTGCTAACAAAAAATGTACAAAATGCTCATGCAATTACTATTAGGGATGTAAGCGGATCGAATTTGATTCGGATCAGGCGATATCTAAATTCGATTTAAAAATTCATATCCGATAGATATTGAAAATTAATATTCGAAGTCAAATTCGAATTCGATTAATTAATTATTTTAGATAATTAGTAAATATATAAAATAAATATTTTATTTATATAAAGTATATAAATTATTTATATAATTTAATTATATATATAAATTATATAAAACATTTAAAAATTTTATATATTATATATAAGAATTAAATAATCGATCGAATTTGGATATTTATTGTCAGGTCATATCCGAATTCGAATCCGATTAACTATTTGGTATGAATAGGATATCTTAATTTGACCGGTTAGATATTCGAATTATCCGAGTTCAATTCGATTATGTTGAATCTTGAATTCGGAATCGGATTTTCGAATACCGTTAACACCCCTAATTGCTATTGAGGCTGACTTCTACAGAAAAACAATACAAACTTTGTAAACAGTAAAAAAAAAAGAGAGAATTTAAAGATGTAGCTTTACCTTTGAGCAATTGATGCATGCGTTTAGTACCGTGGGCATTTACTAAATAAATGTGCCACATAGGCACCGCTTCAGCATTTTCCCATATTATGTGAATCCCATATGCATAGGGACTTGCAAAAGTAGACTTCGGTTTATGTGCATGCCTACCATTGGAGGAGGCTTCATTTTAACGCTTCCCCCAACGGGTATGCGTTTATTCACTGCTTTGCCGATGTGGTGTCTAATGGCGCGTAAGTGTCAATAAATGGGTTCATCATATTCTCTCTGTTTTCCAAACAAATCAAGTACAAAACATTTACTCAATAAACATCCACGATTCCAGACACATACGATATGAAGGCTCCGTTTGGTTGTGGTGCAATTTTATTTGCACTAGCACAAATGTATGGTTAAATGATTTGGTAGCAAATTTTATTTGCACTAGCACAAATGTACAAATGAAAAAAAAATCACAAATTTTGGTTTAATTTTGTTTTTCTACTTTGAGTCTTATTTTACTTTATTTGTAAGCCAAATAAAGTTGGGTAAATTTTGAAACAAAGATAAATCAAAATTTGCACCCAAATCATTTGCACTACCATAGTTGTGTATCAATACAAAAAAAATTTACGCTGCAACCAAACACATATGAAGGGAAAATTTAAGAAGTAAATCAATTTTGAAAAAGAGATTGAAAGTGTTTGGGGTAGCGGTTCATATGAAGAGAAAATTCAAAAAAAATAAACATTTTGATCAAAAGTACATGCATGGGTATTTTGGACATTTTTATGCCTCTTTTTAGAGGGTTCTATTAAAGGGGGTATGTTTGCAATTATGTTAAAAAGTTTAGGGGAGGTGATTGCAATTATCAAACTTCAGAAGAGATTTCAGCAACAAATAGAAACTTTAGGGGAGGTTTCAGCAATTTACCCCAAAAAATTGGTTAGATCAATTACTTGGTGACATAGGTCAGTACTCATTGGTTAGATTTTTTTTAACCATTTTCATAATTGATAAAAACTATTCTTATTCACATACTTATTTTTGTATAATATGATGAAATATCAAATATAACATTAAAGATATATCTGATTTTTCTATATTTTTATCTATTTTTTTATTTGACTTATCGTATCGCAAGTTGATATATCTGAATGGTTGAACCACTAACCTACAATCAGAAAGAAAAGTAATTCCATTTTAAGGTCATTTATTATTATTATTATTATTATTATTATTATTATTATTATTATTTGATAACATATATTTTTAAAGCATCCATTTAAATTAATAATTATGTTTTTTTTTGGTAAAAACTAGAGCTCAATTTGAAAGAAATACAAATATAAATATGTATAGTGCAAAACCTTATATTTTGCATATATACTATACAAATTTGTAATTGTACTCTTTTCAAACTGAGCCAAAAAGATGAAGATTGTATTAAACTCGCAATACAAGAGGACCAAGGGTCCTCTGAAAGTTCTACGAAACAAGCACAATCCAACTCCACCTGAACCGTAAAGCCTTATAAGGTTCAATGTTTCAATACGATACAACCAACACAGGTGTATCTTATGGTATCCTTGATTGAGTGTCGATACAGCTCTTTACATGCAGGTGTTTTTCTATAAAACCAGAGCTTTTCTGGTTTGTTCTTTTTTTATGTTTTATTCATTGAGAATTCAAGTATATATACACATGAATTCAACCACCGAACCTCCTAAGCTTATGGCAACTAGAACTCCTAAATTTACAGGGACTCAAACATATCTTTCCTATTCTATCTGAACTGTTCATGATAAGGAAAGGATAAGAAGATATATACAAACAAGATAATACTGAACGGATTCCTAATCCTAACACCCCCCTCAAGTTGGAGCATGCAAGTTGTGAATGCCCAACTTGCGGAGAAGGTACTCAAATTCTCTGCAACCCAGTGCCTTTGTAAAAATGTCAGCCAACTGAACGGTAGTTGACACATAAGCAGGACGAATGCAATCATTTTGAATCTCATCACGTACAAAATGGCAATCAAATTCAATAAGTTTTGTACGCTCATGAAACACTGGGTTTGCTGCAATATGCAAGGTTGCCTAACTATCACAATATAATCGCATTGAGTTTGAATGTGTAACTCCAAGAGCCAATAACAATCCCTTCAGCCATTTTAATTCACACGTCGCCGTGGCCATAGAACGATACTCTGCTTCCGCTGAGGAATGAGCCACAGTGTGTTGCTTCTTAGTTTTCTAGAAAATAGGCAATTTCCCAAGCAGAATAAACCATCCAGGTAGAGAACGTCGGGACAAAGGACAACTTGGCCAGTCTGAATCACACCATGCATATAATTGTAAGTCACAATCTGAACGTAAGAGAATTCCTTGACCAGAATTTCCTTTTAAGTAGCACACCACTCGCAATGCAGCCTCCCAATGTCTTTCTTGCAGTTGTTGCATAAATTGGGACAGAACATGCACACAAGACAACTCTGGACGAGTTGCTGAGAGATAAATAAACCTGCCCACTAAGCGCCTGTATCGCTCAGGATCAGATAAGAGAGGCCCATCTGTCAAGGCAAGATTGTGATTCTGCTCCAGAGGAAAAGGAGCAGGTTTTGCACCAAGTAATCCAACTTCAGAGATAATATCCAAAGCATACTTACGTTGAGGCAAAAAAATTCTTGTTGAGTTTCGGGCAACTTCAATGCCCAAAAAAATATTTCAATGGTCCCAAGTCTTTTATATGGAAGCAGTCACTCAAATATTTCTTGAAGACTTGAATTGCCATACGATGATTACCTGACACGATAATGTCGTCCACATACACGAGAGCAAGCACATGCACCCTGTCTCAACGAAAGGTGAAGAGGGAGTAATCTGAACATGATTGCTGAAACCCATATGTCTTCAAGGCTGCGGTCAATTTAGCAAACCAACATCTCGGTGCTTGTTTCAATCCATATGGAGATTTTTGCAACCAACACACCATACCTGGTTTATCCAACTGAAAACCAGGAGGCATTCGCATGTAGACTTCCTCATGAAGGTCACCATGCAAGAATGTGTTATGTACGCCCATTTGATGAAGCTCCCAATTTGTAGCTGCTGTGACTGCAAGGTAGGTACAGACAGTAACCATTTTTGCAACTAGGGCAAAAGTTTCATTATAATCAATTCCCTCAACCTGCTTGTTCCCAAAAATCACGAGACGGGCTTTGTTTCTTTCCACTGTCCCATCAGCGTTATATTTGATTCGATACACCCATTTGCACCCTATGGCTCGTTTTTCGGATGGCAAAGGCTCCACAGCCCATGTCTGATTATTTTCAAGTGCCTGTATTTCTTTCTGCATTGCATCCCTCCATTTTTCATCCTTTACGGCCTCATCGAAAGAAGTAGGTTCAACTCTTGCAGTAATAGCTGCCAAGAAAGCACGATGTCGACATGAAAATTTGTTACAATTCACATAGTTATCTATGGGATAAGGACTACCTGCAGAATGTGATTGGCCGAGTGAACTTGCAAAGGGACTCGGAGAGGGACTCAAGCGCTGTGTGGTGTGAAGCACATAATCTCTCAACCTTGTGGACTACTGTTTCTGTCGATGCCCACGCCCCAAATGAAATTTAGAGTGCTGTCGTTGCTCAACATTGCCACCCCCCTGAAATCAGGACCGTCTTCACTTGCATTTTCTGTGGTGGCGTCATAAGAATACATGAGTTCACCAGTATTTGCATTCGGGTCTGCGCGAGTTCCTTCTTCAGTGAGTTCACCTCGCTGGTTAGCCTCCATCTCGCCATTTGCTAGTCCAGATAAATAAGTGGATGGTACCAACACCTCATCTGTTCCACCTATTCCACAATTAAATTAGCCTTGTGCTTTGTTCGGCTGTGCATCTTCCTTGTGTGCATACGAGAATTCATGCTCTAAAAAAGTAACATCTCTTGATGCAAAGAACATGCCAGACTCTAAATTATACAAGCTCCATCATTTCTTTCCAAAAGGATACCCAACAAAAACATACCATTTGCTTCGACTGACAAATTTATCCCCTCCATGTCCATGATTGTGCGCATATGCTAAGCAACAAAAAACTCACACATAACCAAAAGCTGGTTTGAAAGTGCAAAGCTCGGGCAACATTGAATATGTGGCGGTGCTTGCATTCAACTCTCCCGTTTTGTTGAGAGGTTCCGACACAAGTGGTTTGATGAATAATACCACTTTCAGCAAAATAACTAGCCAAGCATATATACAAACCAGAGCTTTTCTGGTTTATTATTTTTCTGTGTTTTATTCATTGAGAGTTCAAGTATATATACACATGAATTCAACCACCGAACCTCCTAAGCTTATGGCAACTAGAACTCCTAAGTTTACAAGAGTTCAAACATATCTTTCCTATTCTATCTGAACT